GTTCAACGGATTCTCCATAGATTGGGTTATCGTTGCAGACCAGCTAGACGGAAGCCCTTATTAAGACCTGCCAACATAGTCAGACGAAAGAAGTGGTCACATTGACCAACCCCGTGTTGAGAGAGTTAAAGCTTGTAACATTATACATTTATTTATATTTAATTTTATTGTTTTATTGACCTTTGAACCATGTCTAACTTATGATCCCACCACACAAGTTGTAAATCCCTTAGCAAACATGCAGCTTACGTTACTATATTGAATTACATAATGTATAAGCTGATTGCAAGCATACTTCGTGAGGAATTTGTATTTTTTTCATGATCTTACCTAACCTAATAAGTTTCTAATTTTTACATTTTATTTACTTTTATAATAATTCAAAAAGGATACACAAGAAATAAAGAACTTACTTGGGTTTTCTTTTTTTCTTTCTTTTTTTTGCTGTTGACTGTTGATGAAATTTAAGCCTACTTTTGATAGTAAAGGTACTACTGCACTAAATAATTTTTATTTAATTGAATAATGCACCAAAGAACGTAACACATAAAAAGCAGAAAATATTCATTAACTTTCAAAATTTTTCTGGCTTTCTAACAATGCAACAAGAGCTGTTAAAAATGTAGTTAAGCTTATCGATGTGATTTTTATTGGAATAAAATTTGAACTGGAAGCAAAATAGACAATTATCTGTAAAGAAAACAATGTAATATAATACATTATTTGATAGATGAAAACTTTGGCTTTCTATTGCTTATAAATAATATAGTATTAAACATCAGAGAGAACTATTGGCAAATTGTGAAAGACAGGATGTGAAAGGTAGCATGGCAAGAGTGGTCTGGTTTTCTAGTTTATGGCTCTGTAAACAAATAAAATTAAAGGCTATAAAAATTATGATTTGTCTGAGTAACATTTATATTATAATAAGTAATTTATGTTAAATTCTGTACTTCTCGATTGGGTGGTAAATAAATAGGAGAAAAGGGAAGACTTGGAGAGCAAATGTCACAATTCTCATTTTTGGGGAGATTGAAGATTATTTTGTATAATATTAAAACTTGATATATAAATTGATAATAAAGTAGTGTAATTAGATTTTTAATGTAACTCAGAATAAGGTTATGATATGTGCACTTTGACCTACACGATGCAGAAGGATTAAGTATTAGGACACTTTATGTAACATATTTGTGCTGTTGTTCAGTGGTTTACAGGAAACTTATGATGATACATCTGAATTAAGAAATGCACTATTAAATAAAAGAACTAAAATCTCTGAAGCACTGCGTAACTTTCAGATTAAAGTATAGGAAATGATTTAGAAATGACTGCTCAATAGGAGATATAAAAAACGTCTTCCAATATGAGAGTTTAACAGTCAAAAATTAAGATTTTCTTCATCTTTAGTTTATGTTGTGAGTTCAAAAAGTAAGAAACTAAATTAGTTTGCACATATTTTTGTTGGTTTATGTAGTACTAAAAAAATGACAGATATCTGCTAGGTCTCACCTTTTCCATTCCAGAACAGTAGTGGTCTTTTGCACTGGCAACAGCAGCAAGATTGTTGGCTTCAGCTGTTGCCTAGGTGTATGTACATATCTTTAAATTACAAACTCTTTGATACTATTTTAATATAAAAATATTTTCCAACAAATTAGTAAATATTTCAAGTAATATTCAATGGCAATCTTCCAAAGTTTAAATATATTTTAAGCTCAGTTAGTATAATATTATTAGACACATTGTGTGTCTCACAACTGTTTTAGACAAAAACTACAGATGACTGTACAAAATACCTTTTCTCAACCAGTGATTGTGATAATAGAGATGATAGATAAAAATATTATGAAAACATTAGGAGTGAATATTGAAAAATGACTGATATGTACATACACACATAAAAAATAATAATAGTTGTTATACACTGAAAATGCTCTTGCTTTTTGAGAGAAAAAAAGCACCTTCATGCAATGACATCTGTTAGGATTGATTACACTTGTTTTAAAGAACATATTTCAGTAAGACTTCCTGTAAAGCATATTAAGAATAGTATTGTTTTGAAGAACATGTTTAAGTAGTTTAGTTATAAAAATATGGCTTAAAAGCTGCACAAAAAATATAATAGTAGACATTATGTACTAGTCATAGCTATTAACATTAATCTCATCTTTCTTAAATAAGAATGCTCATGACTCATTAGGAGTTAAAATCTTAAAATTTGCACATTTTCCTAAATTGCACGATCCTCAGTTATTACTTACCTCTAACATCGACTTTGGCTCTGGAAGTTCATCTCCCTTATATATATTTGTATAAGCCTAAAAAAAAATAATACAAAGCAGCTTTATTCTCCAAACTGTAAAAAAATATATTGATAATGGTATTATAAAACTGATTCACAGGCACAATAGAACCTCATTTTATACAAGTAGATGTAAACCTTCTATATACAATAACCTAGAAATTAATTTTTTGTGGTTTTTCCACTTGCCTTTAATAAGCTAAATCACAGCTCTGCAGAAACTTGCATTATTTTGAAAAGTACCCATATAAACTATCATCGTAAATCACTTTCATAACTGAAAAGCATTCCTCTGTATGAATTAGAAACCTTCTTTTACACTGTAATATTTTTTTCCTTGATACATTGTAAATTTCATATTTGCAGTTTCATCCTGACAGTATGCTATACAGTTGTTTTCAGTGGGATCAAGAATCTGAAGTGCTAAACTACATTATAACAAAAACGCATGGCATCTTTTGATCTGCTCAAGGTTATTTATGATAGATAATATTTCATTCAGCTTTTGTTAATGAATTAAAGACTTGGATTTTTTTTACTACATTGGAAAGTTGTAACAAATTCAGCAGCTACTGAACAGAGTAAAATTTCTCACAAAAATTACAATCTTAAAAAATGCAACTTTTAATAAAAATTGATACTGGAATTAAATACCTTAAACAAGTATTATAGTGAAACATTTCCTTTTTTTTATGTGCACTTCCTAAACTTAAGAAGAACAAAATTTAAAACAAATCATCTTTTCTTTTTCAATACCTTTTCTTTACAATGTTCTGAAATTTTAAACTATTTTACTGTTCATTCAGGACAGTGTAATACGCTCCACCCATGTAGTAGGTTGGATATAATGTTTCAGAAGAGTAGCATAGCTTCTTAATTTTTTCACTGCTAAATATTTGTACTTTCATATAAGAAAATTAATCACTCGACACAGGATACAAGAGTCTAAAAAATGTGTTTCTTGAATGTGTGAAATCTAAATGCAAAGTACACTGCTCTTTGGAATTTTTACTGTTCATACTTTTGTTGTATTAATAACTGGTTAATTTGTTGAAAACATTTATTTTCTCTATTAATTTTTACCATAAACAGTTAATCAGTTATTAATTGCTATTGTATAAACAGATGAACCTACAGTAATATTATCTCTAACACACTTGCTGTAAAACAATTAAGAATCTGTTAAAATTCAAGCTTCCACAAACAAAGATAATGTGAAATAAGTATATACAAAACATATCCATCAGTTTTGAGAGTTATATGAATAATATACATTGCATGCTCATAACCTTATAGGTATGCTGACACATGTACTTGAAGTTTAGTATATTGTCAATAACAGTTGTAATAAATTTTTAACATTGATAGAACTTTAGTTTACCCCTCACTCAATGGTGACGTTAGAATTTTATTAGTTTTCATTACAGACCTCTCTCAAATATTTACAGTATTTCATGAATACAGTAATTATATGCTCATATAAAATGTTCTTGTAAATGTTAAGCAATACAACCACAGAAGTGAAGAATAATATATATTGAACATTCCCAAAACATTCAATAAATAACCTATTGCTCATCACTTCTGTGCTTGTTCATCAGTGGACTGTTTTCCATCTCTATGAATTTGTTTTGCCTATCATTATAATCTTGTCACACTTCTAAGTAAATTCTTGTTATATTTATTGAAAAGGGCAATATAGAACATTAATAATTAAATTTTCAAAATTCCTTGAAAGCATGGTAAAAACATTTTAGTATTACCCTAACAAAACATACCTTAAAGTATTCCACAAGTTCCCTGGCAGTAATCTTATGTCCATTTATTTCTTTCACGACTAAATTCTTTGGGTCAAGAAGTAATGGCACAAGAACTTTCAACTGATTTTTGAAGTCTTGCTCTATATCTATATTTAGAAAGAATTGCATAGAATACGTGGTCATATGTAGACTTATATAACTTGTTCAACTGACATTCCTTTAAGTTATAGTTAAATATAAAAAATATCTTATTAGAATAAACTGATATAAAATTTAGGAGTTAAACAAAGTTTCATATTAACAAAACATAAAAATTGCTTATTCACAAAACTATCTGTATGATTTACATATATATATATAAATATGTATAGTGCACAAAATTGATCTTACAGTTTCCTAAATTGAGGAAAAACAAGACAATTGTACGTTTCACAAGAACATCATTTATTAAAACCATGGTTTGCCAGTAAAGGTATCATCAGGTAAACTGTCAGTAGGTCAAATATCCTTATGCAGGGATTTCAAACTGTGGTACACAAACCTCTGGTGGCAGAAGAAACTAATAACATTTCTAATAAACCCAATTTGAGTTTCCTGCATAAACACACACACTGCTCTACCTGCTTCTCCTCATGAAAAGAAGAAAAACTTGCACATATTCTATTGCAAGAAAATTGAACTTTGTTGTAATGGTGATTTGAAACATGTTTTTCAAACTGTCTCTTTAAAAATTTTTTTTGTAAGTTAGAAAACAGTACATGTTAATGCCTTTTACTACTTCGTACTTCTTAAGTCCGATGCAATCAAAAAATAAATAGAGAACAAAGCTGAACTGAACCTGACCCTTGCTCGTAAGTGACAAAAAATGCCACAATTATTCCTCAATTGTACCAGAAAAAAAATTACATCCTTCCCAATTTTTCAATTATATCTAGGTGGTATTTAAAAAAAGTTTAAACAAAAAAGTGGAATATAAGCCTGAAAAGTTTGAGAACCATTTCACAATCATTCATACAGTATGAAGATCTAGATAATTTGTCTTAAAATGTTCATTTGTATAACATTTGAAAATTCACGGTATTATTTTTCTACACAAGAGTTATTTGAACTAGCAAGTCTTAATTTTGAATTTATAGATTAGAGAGAGTGCAACTAGTCAACAGAACCAACTGCCAACTCTTGGAAAACTTTAATTTGACCATCACTTTTAAATAAATCTATGGCCTCAAAATATGGGGTACAAAGGGATATGAACAATGGGTCCACAAATTCACGGTACAACATGCTAACCATTAGTCTAGCCAATATTTTTTTTAACCACATTTATCAATTTAACTTTGTATTAAGACTCAAAAAGTGTTTAAAAAGTCCTTACCAGCTAATCTGCCATCAAACTGAGGATTTGTAGCAACTTTTAGGCCTGGATGAGGCATCAGAAAGCACTCAATATTCAAAAAGCAAGAGCGAATATGCCTTCTTAGCTGTTGAAGCTCTGGGTGTTGTCTTTCTGAAATCTGTAATCATAAAGAGAATTAAATTAATTTTTTTACTTTAAAATTCCAAGACAACAAATTAGAGAATAACATGTATTATCCATTACTGAAAAATCTTCCTGATTTGACTTTAGAACTAATGTAACAATATCAAGCTATAACTTTATATAAAGATAATGATAACTGATCTGGAAGATAATAAAATTAATCAGATAGCAACTAAAAGTGAATTGGGTAGTATTTCACCTAAATACTGGTATTTAAATACGCTGGTTTTAAGAAAATGATTATTACAAACTTATCACAAAATAGCATTCTGGGGTCACCACAGGTATCCTTTACTGCACATGACACAAGGTTTTAGTGTCTTACATTTAAAATGTTATTGAACTACTTTTTATTTAAGTTATACCCATTAGTATAGCATAAAATTTTTGTTAATAATCCATATTTTTATAGTATATAAGTTTTAAGTTCTTAGTTCTGCAAGGCCATATTTAAAAAAATCCTGAATTTCTCCTAGTGTGACACATTTTCTCTAGGTATCTTTTCTATTTTATCCGCCACCCCTACATTAACCATGAAATTAAATGTAAATTACTAACTATAAACTCTCCATTGCTCAGACAAATCCTAAATTGTATAGCCTTTAACTTTGTTTGGTTACAGAACTATCAAATAGAAAATCAGACCCCTTCTGCAACATCCATCTGTCACATCTTCTCTTTCAGGATTTGTTAATAATTCTCTCTTATGATTAATTCTACATTATCTATAACCAATAGAAAGCCAAGGTTTTCATCTATTAAATGGTGTATTGTATAACATTTCACTAGTAGTACAGGCTTCGTTCCCACTATAAAGGTAACAACTAGCTTGGATAAATTGGTAATGGCTCTTGTCACACAGTTAGAAAGCTAGAGAAACTGTGATTGTTAGAGGAAACTGTCTGCTATTAGGATGTTATTATTCTAGGTTCTTTGGTTCATTACTTAATTAAATAAAAATTATTTAATGCCCTACCATTAGTATAAATAAGTAGGATTAAGTGTCATTGACTGTCAACAGTAAAAGAATACTTAGGTAGATACTTTTTTTGAAGTTTATTCTTTATTTATTGTTTGTTTGTCTTGAATTTCGTGCAATGCTACACGAGGGCTATCTGCACTAGCCGTCCCTAATTTAGCATTATAAGACTAGAGGGAAGGCATCTAGGCATCACCACCCACCGCCAACTCTTGGGCTACTCCTTTGCTACAAATAGTGGGATTGACCATCACATTATAACGCCCCCACTGTCTGAAAGGGCAAGCTTGTTTGATGGGAAGGGGATTCGAACCCGCAACCATCAGATTGCGAGTCAAGTTCCCTAACCACCTGGCCATGCAGTACCGAGCCCGTGTTGAGAGAGTTAATATGTATGGTAACATGTCATGAGACAAATAATAATAACACTCTACATAAAAATGCTGGAAATGAAAACAATGTAAAAAAAAAACTGTTACTTTATTTAACAACATTTCAAGCAACTGCTCTTCATTAGGCTTGATATAAGAACTAACAAGAGCAGTTGCTCAAAATACTGTTGTTAAATAAACTTCAGCATCATGCAGACTATTATTTTACTGTAGAAGGAATGGTTTTCTTATTAATATCATTCTTTCTAATCAAACAGACAAACACAAAATCCTAAACTTTTCCCCTTAGAACTAAAAACCTCAAAATAACAATACTGATAATCTTTTTAAAAAAAATGTCTTCAACTTTCTTAACCTAGATTTCAAGGATTTCCTTCACAATAGTTAGTATATAGATTCTTATTAAAAACTGTAGACCAATAATAATGATGAGTAACATTTACATATCAATAGTTAAATAAAAATTCAACAGGAGTAACTGTAATTTATAACTGATTCTTCTTTGTGTGAACCGTCAAACTGTGGAGCAATACACTTGTAGATTTTATAAAACATGTGTTCTCCCTTCATGTAAAATGTGTTTTCCCTTAATAAAAAAAATTTTTCAAATTTAATTACTGTTCAACTCAGCAAATCAAATGAAAACATCTAATATCACACACACAGCCTTCAAAAGTGAGTCACTGCTACACTGATAACGAAATGTTCAAAAAATACTTCCAAAGCACAGAGGTGATGTAAAATAGTCATTTTATGTTTCTTTATACTAGAAGTTAAAGGTCTTATATCATCATAAAGTAGTAGTTCAATTATTAACAGGTAAAGAAACCACACAAAAATGTTAATCGTAGATTGAACAAGTCTTTGCAAAAAACAAAATGTTAATCTTAAATCAAAATATCAAGTACATCTAAGTATTTATAATTTAGTATCAAGTAATGATATTAAGAATAAAGTTTTGGAAAGTTGCAAAAAACTGCAGGGAAAATAAGACAGAATAATTTTTATTTAAGTGATCTTAACTATGTACATGGCTTAGCCAAAGTGTGCATGATACAATACACAATATATAGCTTATGTATCATTACAGAACAATCAACATGCAAAAGTATGTTCTAACTTTTAATATACAACATTTATTCACATGCACATCAAAAAAAGAAAAGGCCTCATACATTGGCAAACAACAGTTAAATCAAAATGAAAATCAAAAACCTGAAATTCAGAGATCTTTGAAGCTTTATGGATCAGACTTGTGGAAATATTTTGGGTTTCTTGCCACCAAAGAAAATGCTTGACAAAAACAACATTGTATGCAAGATGTAGAAAATAAATGTCAAATACGCAGAGGTAGAGGGATTACAACAAACACATCAATGCATATATACCAAACTTGCAGAAATCTACATAAAACCAGCAAAAGAAACAGGTAATTCTTTGTATTTACATAAATAAAATTATAATTTGTGTTCTTGTTCTTTGTTTTTTTTTTTAGGAGGAGATTATAACTGCTTTAAATGGAAGCAAGTGGCATATATTTTATGTGCTTTTGTTGAACTGGCTTTGTATTGATCTAAAAATGTAACAATTACTTAAACAAAGGTGTGGAGGAGGTTACATGTATTGTGGAAAGTACTGTATCAAGGCTTGTCTATTGCAATATATATTGCAAGGTCTTACCCTTAGTACCCGATATATTTGTTTTATGTTCTAAAATGCATATTTGAATATTACATAAATTTCTACTTAATTAAAAAAAGTAAGGCCTAACACAGTAATGGCTTGTACTCACAAAATTCATACACTTTGCTCATGGTGTTTACAACAGATGGGCTTCCACTGTGATTTACTGATTACAGGATATGGCAGTTCAAAGTACAAGCAATATAACCACAGAATTAAAAGAAAACAGATGTGAAAAGATTAACATAACTAGCAAAATGATGAATTCAAAGTAAAATAAAAGCATTGTTCATTTTATTTCATATCTTTCAACTTTTCATTTCACGATACATTGATTATTTTGCTATAGTTAATGTTACAGTAAAGAAAATCACAGATAAGATATAGTTTTACAAAAAAAACAAAAACTTTTGATATTCATTTAGTAAGTTTTACAGGTTATGCAAATGAAATATAAAAACTGTAGGATGAATAGAAGTATTTTTATTCTTTACGTGAAAACACCTTGCACTCAGATTGACTCAGTAAAGGCTTTAGCAATTCACAAAACTCTAGTGAAAAATTACTTTTGTGTACAAGTCTTCTAATGTTTACTAAAAGCTTGCTAAATTTTATGAAGATACACAGAGTAAATATTACCAAGTACATCTTCACAGATACGGGGTCAGTTCAACAGACTGATGCTGTGGACATAGGGTTTAAAACATTATTGTTAATATTTTAAAACCAAGTGAATACATAACATCTAGTATTTTATCTAAATAAACCTGGCACTGTAGTATCTGGTTTTTAGAACTGAAATTACCATAATGGAGAGATGTGCATAGAAAATCCTTAAGGAATTTCTTTGAAATAATACTTTTACTTCCATGATGTTTCAAGAAAGTGGTAAGCCAACAATTTTCTCTAAATACGTGACTGACAGAAAATAATGCTGAGCATACTATGAATTCATTAACAAATATTATAATCTGTATTTTGAGGAAATACAAGAAACATTCTAGTGAATATAATCTACTCCTTTGTAGCTTCTATAATAGAAGATGTCACCTGTATTGTTAAACTAATAACCAAATCCTAATTATTATTTTTTGTTTTCCAATTCTAACTTTTCTACAAGTTAATTCTTGATTGCTAATCAACTGGAACACATTTGATATTTTTTTAAACACCAAGGGTCAAAAGTGGAAATTTTCAAACTTAACATTTGATAAAATATACAAATCAGGTTCATGTACATGCTCTACTATTTTGTATGTAAAAATAGTTTGTGTAGTTAATACTAACATTTTTAAGTTGGTTAATTCTTTAAAATAACTGTTAAGAAGGCTCATTTTTGTCACTTTATGAGACAGATCAATATATCTAGGAAGTACAGGTATTGGGATAACACAGAAAAACTGTTTGTGAAAAAATGAAGTGTGTGATAGCTAGGTAGATTCAGTGGTTAAAAGGTATCTTACTAAAAGCTGCTAGTGAGTTAACCTTTTATTTAGCAGGTAGAAATGCTTCTTTTTCAGCACCTCATTGTATATGCAACAGAATCCCTACCAGTTTCTACAATGCAATACCACACCAAAACATGGTAGTAACAAATACACTGAGTGGTCACAAGTAAACAGACACCTAATTTTTCATCATTTAACTAATTTATGCTAACTAATTTGTGTTCACAGAGCACTATATAAATGAAAATGGTCTGCACACTAATTATTTTGTGTTACAACATGCCTAGAACTCAAGGTTCTCTCGAATTGTCAGATTTTGTTAGAGGAAAGATGGTTGGTCAAGCAGATGGTGGAATAAGTCAGCGGCAAATTTCGTAGAATTTGGGAATCCTGTTTTCATCAGTCA